CCTTCTCCCTCTCCTCCCCCCTTTCTCTCCCCTCTTACTCTTCTTTTTTGCTCTCTAGCTCTTTCTCCTTATTCTAGGGCTTGAATCCAGGGGTGCTCTACCACTGAGCTATACCCCCAGACCTTTTTAGATTTTATCTTGAGACAGGGTCTCATTAAGTGCCCAGGCTAGCCTCAAAACTTGTGATCTTCTTGCCTCCTGAATACCTGGGATTACAGGTGGGACTGGGATCCATTTGTGGTGTGTGTGTGTGTGTGTGTGTTGTGTGTGTGTGTGTGTGTGTGTGTATGTGCATGTGTGGTTCTAGGGATTGAACCCAGGGCCTTCAAACTGAGCTACATTCCAGCCCTTTTTTATTTCTTATTTTGAGACTGTTGCTAAATTGCTCAGGCTGGCTCAAACTTGTGATTATCCTACCTCAGCTTCCCAGATGTTGGGATTACAGACATGTGCTGCCATGCCTGGCTGTTTTGTTCTTAACAATGATTCCATTTTACCTGTCACTATACCATACTCTCCTGTCCCTCATAGAGGTTATTTTTCAAAGAATATTTATTTTGTTTTGTTTTGAGACAGGGTCTTGCTATGCAGTTCAGGCTGGTCTTGAACTCACTATGTAGCCCAAGCTGGCCTCCAACTCATGGCAGTCCTCTTGCCTCAGCCTCCCAAGTGCTGGGACTACAGGCATGTGCCACCACACCCAGCTTCAAAGCATTTTTATCCCTCTCTAACGCTCACAGTAATCCTACAAGGTGAACAGGACAAGTAGTTTATTCCCATTTCACAGAAGAAAAAACAGGCTCAGAGTGTCTGGTGGCTTCCTAAAATTCTATTCTAGTCAGAGCTGTGGCTTTCAACTTCCAGCTGGGTCAGGGATGTGCAGACAAGAAGGGATGGGAGGAGGACCCTGTCCCCCCAGCCCCAGGCCAGTGCTTGGAGTGCAAAGGACAGGTTGGAACCTACCTTATGCACCCAGTCTTTGCAATAATGGTCCTGCATGCACTTGTCCAGTGCCCCTGCCGAGAGCACCAGCACAAAGTTGCGAGCACCCATGACACTCTGGATAAGCTTGTCCTCAAACTTGCCAGCTTCCAGCTTCTCCACGTCGATGAAGACACTGAAGCCGTGCAACTGCAGGTGCACCTTCAGGAGGCTGCAGAGACGTCTTATGTCACCACTGCAGCTGCACCCCCAGACCCCAGCCACCCAGCCACGCCTCCTTACCTGGCCAGCTGGGAGCCTGAGCTCCTTCGGTAGCTGATGAAGACATCTGGAGTGTCCCCACCGAGCTTGCCACTGGTACAGGGCAGTGGAGAGTGGAGCATTTCTGAGGCCAATGAGAGACAGCACGGTAAGGGTAGTCCCTCCCCACCACTCCCCAGCCTTCTCAGCCCAGGCTGGGCAAGGCGGCTTGCTCTAGAAAGGTTCACTGAAGTGGAGACACAGGCCCTAGGGGAAGGAAGGCTCAGAAGGCAGATAGATACAGGGTTTTAGGGACACTGACATGCTCTCTCTTGAGAACTGCAGACCTGTGCTGCCAGCTGCCCACGGGCCCTCCATACTCAACATAGCTGAGACCTTCCCCATTCCCCTTCCTCCTAGTTTCCACCAGAAACCTCCTCAGTGTCAACCTCAACTGCTGCCTCCTACCCGTTTATTCAATAAATACAGATGCTCCTTGATTTACAATGGGTTTATGTTCCAATAAATCCATCATAAATTGAAAATGTCAATTTTCAACACAGCTGAACCTTGCCTACCTTAAACACTTACATTAGTGTACAGCTGGGCAAAATCATCCACAAAGATTATTTTGTAATCTTGTGTCAAATGTCTCCCAGAATTTATTGAATATTGGACTAAAGTAAAAAAAAAGTTACGTAGATGTGCTCTCACTCCATCATAAAGCAGAAATTTTGTCTTTTTGTTTTTGTTTGCTTGTTTTTTGAGACAAGGGCTTGCTATGTAGTCTGGCCTAGAACCCGCTATGTAGCCCAGGCTGGCCTTGAAGTTGTGGAGATCTTCCTGACTCAGCCTCCCTAGCACTGAGATTATAGGTGTGCACCACCACACATGGAGAACCTTGGAAGCTGTTAGTCAGATGGTAAATTGGGGACCATCCTTTTTTTTTTTTTTTTTTTTGATACCAGGGATTGAACTCGGGACCTTGTACTTTCAAGGCAGGCAGTAGAACCACTGAGCTAAATTCCTGGCCTAGGATCATTCTCGCTAAGCCCATGCCATGTGCCAGGTGCTATCCTCAGGGTTTGGGATACAGCAGTAGACAAAACAGCCGGATCTCTGCCCTAGTGGAGCAGATGTTCAGTGCTCAGAACCAGGCACCATCCCCTGTGGATTCTACCTACTAGATATCCTAATAGTTACATAGTAACTAGTGGGTGGGGGATTTAGCTCAGTGGTGCTCAAGGCAGGCTCAAGGACTCGGCCCAGTACTTTTAAAAAAAAAGCTACAAATAATAACTAATAAACGAAAACAAGTTAGTAAATAAGGAGAATGCTAGAGCCCTAGTCTTCACTGTGAAACACCTGCAGAAGCCATACTGTAAACTGTTGGCTTCTGGGCTGCCCTTTGGGTGCCCACCCATACCCTGCGTCTATAGCCCCATGCGCTGTGCTGCCTCTACATTTGCACAAGCGGCCCCCTCTGACTGGGCGGCCCTTCTGGCTACCTCTGCCCCAAGCCATACATCTCTCTGAAATCTAGACCTGGTGGGGCAGGTAAGCAGTGCTTCCTCCTCTGGCCTTCCACTGGAGCCCTGGGCATGCTTCCTGTGACGCCCGCTTGTATACCAGCCTACCACTTCCTACGGGGCACTTCTCCAGGGCAAAGTGCAATATATTCACCCTACATGCTCAGAGCCCTGTCTGACCCAGCAGGGCTCAGTCACTCCCCAGGGAGGCTTTGAGCCTCTTCTAGTGTGTCCCTTCACTCCTTGCTGGGTGGGGCTTGGCTGGGGTCCCAGAGGGGCAGACTGACCTCGGGCTGCGGAGAGAATGCGCGAGCGGTGCACACCCAGGCGGATGCCACAGTCCTCCAGCAGCTGCTGCTCAGACACACGGTGCAGGAGGGAGCGGTCCAGGCCGCAGCTGACCAGGCCATAGGTGTACTGGCGGAAGCGAGGGTCCAGGCTGCCCAGCCAGTCAGCCAGGTTGCTGCGGTCACACGTAGCATAGTTGGCGAAGGTCTTGAGCTCTGTGAGCTCCCTAAAGAACCTACACCCGAAGGAGGAGAAGACGCTCAGGTCCTGACTGGGGACTGCCTGATGGCAGAGGGGAGACCTGGTGAGGTTGGGCTCCTACCTCTTGCGGGTGATGCCCGATCTCATCCCTAGGTCGGTCTGCAGTTCCTCCTCCGTGAGGCGCAGAAGCAGATCTCCATCTACCTGCTGCTCCTGGGGGAGGGGTCAGATGTGAGGAGGGACTCCCTTCTGCACAAATGCAAGGGAAGTGGAGGTGGCAGAGGAGGGGCGGCAGGCCCCAGATCAGAAGTGAGGGACGCCGAGAATGGCTCAGAGCAGGCTTCCCCTCCCCCAAAAGGCTACCGTGGCGCCGCAGGCCCATAGTGAGGGAAAACAGGTGCCTGTGCCCAGGGCGCCCCAGCTCCGGGCCCTGTGGCCTGCGTTCGTTCCAACTCAGGGAGGAGGCCCCTAGCGGCTCTACCCCGAAGCTCTCGCAGTACTGGGAGAAGCCGATCTGCTGCAGCCACGTCTGGACCTCCGCCTCTTTCCAGCTGGACACGCACGGCTGAATGCGCCGCGGCACCTCCTCGCCCAGCAGACGCAGCGCACGCTTGGCTAGCGCCGAAGTGGTGCCGTTGGTGGAGTAGGACACGAGGCGTTTCAGGCTCTGGATAGCGCCGATGTCGCTGAACACCTAGAGAAGGGGAGGTGAGAGGGCGTCTAGGGACCTCCAGCCAACCAGCCGCTGCAAAAAGTGCCCAGTCCTCCCCTCACGGCTGAAAGTCCCACCGTGTGCCCTAGTCCTGAAGTCATCCACCTCCTGAAGCAAAGGCCATTCTGATCAGGTCCCCTTCTCCTGTGCCTGTGCAGCTTCCGTCGGCCCTGGGATAAAGTCTGAGCTCTTAGTATGTGGTGCAGCCCCAGCCCACTCTTCCCTGCTCACCTCACACTCCCACTGAGGCTCTCAGACCTCTAGTTCTACACCCATGGTGTTCTGGAACCCTTAATTCTTCCAGCCTGCTCTTAGGAATCCTTATCCATCAGAAACCAACTTGACTAGCGCTTCCTGCATGCAGCTTTGATTCCTCCGTGGCTCAGCTCTCACTTCCACTTAGACTCGTGCACTCTGACTGCCACTGTCACTGGTTAATAACGCAACTTCCACTAGACTACAAGCTGAGGGCCTTCTCAGTCACCACTGGAGCCCGAGCCTGGCCCAGTGAAGGACATGGAGCAGGGATTCAGCATCTTTGTTAAACTGCACTCGGCTTTGGTGGGAAAGGGATAACAGAGCCACTGCCCAGATTCAATCCTTGGGGTCTTTACTCCCTAAAGTCCCTTCTCCTAAGGCAGAATGTTGTACACAAAGGAAAGTCTGGTGGTGGCCCAGCTCTGGCACCCAGAGAGGTAAATCAGAAGCGCTTAAATATTGGATGTTGGAAGTAACCTCAGAATCTGCGGGAACATACATGATGGGTGACAATCACCTGAGAGATACACCCCTCCAGGCACCCTAGATGACAGCTGTAGTATAAACAGGGTGGGCCCAGGGATGTGCTCCACTCCCTGCTTTACCTCTTGCCAACCTCGAGGGTCCCCCAAAGGGGTGCAGAGGAGAGCTATGTTATAGGGATAATCTTCAATCTTTAATATTTTTTTAGAACCCACAAACTTTTGGTAATGAAACTATCACTAGTCCCACATCTAGGGTAAAAACGTTTACTGTGGCTCAACAACCTGAATTTTTCAGAGGATAAACGCAAAATCAGGGCTGGAAAGGTCACTTAGTGGCAGAGCACTTGCCTAGCACGCATAAGGTCCTGGGTCCCATCAACAAAAGTAAACCATGAGTCCAGGTGACCAAGGCCACATAGCAAGTTAAAGCCTGTGAGTTAGACCCTGGCCCTAGGGATCCGGAGACTCAGGTGAGTGTTATTTGGCTGACAGGCTGATATCCCAAACCTCTGTCTCTGGTGACCATCTCCTTTCCAGGCTCCAGACCTAAATGGCCAAACTGCCCACTGAAGGTTCCCAACTGGGCAGCTCTCAGTCACCTCAAACCAACATGTCCCACTGAACTCAATTCCCCACCTACCCTACTCCTGCCTGTCTGCCTCTTACCCAGTTTACCTGATCCAGGGGCTGTCTAGGTTCACAGACAGGAGTCACCCTCGTGTCCTTGCTCTCCTCCTCCCAGGTTCTAATTCCACTCCTCAAACACCTCTTGAATGTGTCTGCTTCTCCCTGCCACTGCCAACACACTGTGTATCTTCTCGCAATTCCCTGCCCCGTCATAGCTCCTATCAGGTCCCCCTGCCTCTAGTCTCACCCTTGCCAGCCCCCTTTCCACACAGCAGCCAGGGTGATCTTTGTAAAACACAAGTGTCCCCGGATTAAAAATCTCTCAGTGTCTTCCTCTTGACCCCAGAGGCCAAGTCTAAAGTTTGGGTCTTGCCGACCTTCCTCTAGCTTCAGCAATTCTGAGGTGTACTGCAAGTCCCATTTGAACGTCACTTCCTCTGGGAAGTCTTCCCAGAGCTCTCTAAGCTCAGATCTACCCTACTCTGCACCCCACCTTGGTCTTGCCCTGCAGGCTCTTGATGGCAGCCTCAGCACAAAGGTAGAAAGCCCCGATGCACTGAGCCTCCAAGCGCGACGAGTCGAGCAGCGGCACGAGGTGCTGCAGATCATCAGGCCCGCGGCCCTGGCGGGTGTCGCTGGAGTCCACCAGACAGCGGGCGAAGCGGCCAGGATCCAGCGAAGCCACGAGCGGCTCCACGAGCGCTAGCGTGCCCGAACGCTCCACTTCTCGCTCCACCTCCTTGTTGGTTGCCAATACCGCCACCGCGAGGCAGGCGTGCAGCCTCAGCAGCTCGTCCTCCTTGGAGAAGGCGAGGGGAAAGAGCCACTCGGCGGCGCGCTTTTCCACCATCCGCCGCTGCGCCCCTTGGCCCCCGTGCAGCGCGCAGTTGGCCAACGCCAGTGCGCAGTGGCGCAGTAGCGCCGGGTCTGTGCGGCGGCACCAATACAGCACCGCGTCCAGGCCACCACCCGCCACCAGCCGTTGGCACGTCTCCTCGGAGTGCTTGAACATATGCTCCAAGATCCCCGCCACGCTCCGAGCCAGCTCCATCGGCTCACGTTCCTTCGCCAGGTTCAGAATCACGCCTAGTCCTATGCGCGCCACGCGGTCCCTGCCAGGAATAAAGTGGAAGGGGTCAGTGGAGTTGCCGGGTGGGGAGCTTAGTTTGCTCGTTGGGGGCCTGTCACTTAACCCCTTTGGGCCTCCGTAGTGTCATATGAAACTCGGAACAGCGTTATATTTTGTCTTCTCTCCGGCCTTGCTGGGACCAGTCTTCTCTAATTTTTGTTTGTTTGTTTTTGGTACCGGGGATCAAACTCGGGTCCTTGCGCTTGCGAGGCAGGCCACCGAACCGCTGAGCTAAATCCCCGGCCCAGTCTTCTCTAATTTTAAGGATGAAGAAGTCCTGGCCACAGCTGTTTCCTCTGCTACCTCCTTGCCTTGAGACTCACAAGGCTTCCAGCTCTGGCTCCACCTACCCTGCCTCAGCCTGACTCCTTCGCTGTTTTCTAACTATGGGGCCTTGGGCACCTTCCTTTATCTTTTTTCTTTAGTTTCCACATCTCGTAAATAGGAACATAAAAATACTTACCTCGCAGGATTATCAAGATTAATAAAATAATCCATATAGAGGGCTTAGCACAGTACCTGATACACAATAAAAGCTCAGCAATGTTAATTTATTGTCACTTGAAGTACACCACTCTCAGCTTTGCCTTCAAACCTTTTCTCACTCCAAGTTCCATGACTGGAACTTATTTATTTGTTCAACAAATATTTCATGAGGACCTACTGTGTGTTGTGCTTTGTGTTAGAGAGGCTGATGTTACACAGTGACTAAACCTGACAGGAGCAGGCATAGAGATGGTACGTCTAGCACTTGGGAGGCTGAGGCAGGAGGATCACCATGAGTTTGAGGCCAGCCTGAGCTATATAATGAGACCCTGTCTTTAAAAAAAAAGTCTTACTGGAGTTTTTCTCAGCGAGTAAGAAGGCCAAGATAATAGAGATCTGGCCATGATGCTAGCCAAAGTGGGTGATGTAATGGAGCCTGCCTGGTGCAAGAATGGCTCTAAGCTAGTGACATCTGAGAGTTAAATGTCTGAGAAAAGAGCACAACAGGGAAAGAGAACCGCCAGGGGCCATGGCCCCAAGGCTGATGAGGTAGCATGTTTGGGATTTGGGGGGCAGCCACAGATGATGCAATGACTAATTCTAGCCAGGAAAATAGAAAATCGACAGGAGATTCGTATGGAGATTATGCAAATAAATATCCAAATTAAGAAGAAAAAAAGAAGTGAATTCAATAGAATCTGAGCAAAGGGCATAAACAGGCAACTTAGAAGGTTGTTTTGGTTTGGTCTTTGGTGATGGGGATGGAACCTAGGCACAGGCCCTAACTGAACTGAGTCTCTGTGCTGCTCAATCTCAATCTCTCTCTTTTGGTTTTTTGAGACAAGTTTAGGCTGGCCTTGAACTCACTATTTAGCCCAGACAGGTCTTGAACTTGGAGTGATCCTCCTGCCTCAGCCTCCCAAGTGGTGGGATAGGTGTGTGCCACCATACTTGGCTTGATTTTTTTTTTCCAGTACTAGGGATTGAACCCAGGTCCTTAATTACATCCCCAGCTCTTTTTTAAATTCTGAGGTAAGATCTCACTAAGTCATTAAATTGCCCACACATGGGCCAGACATGGTGGCACACATCTGTAGTCCCACCATTAGGAGACTGAAACAGGAGGATTTCTGTGAGTTTAAGACCCCCCTGAGCTACATAGTGAGTTTGAGACCAGCCTGAATTACAGAGTAAGACCCTGTCTTAAAAAACAACAACAAAAACAAAAAGCCAGGCATGGTGGTGCACACCTGTAATCCCAGCACTGTGAAGGCTAAGGCAGGAGGACTGCCTCAAATTCGAGGCCAGCCTGGGTTACATAGTGAGCTCAAGGATAGCATGAATTATGCAGCAAGGCCCCGTCTTAAAAAAAAAAAAAAATTTGGCCACACATGGCTCAAAGTTGTGATTTTCCTGCCTGAGTCTCCTGAGTAGCTGAGATTACAGGTGTGTGTCCCTGCACCCAGCTACAAAAGAGGAAATTCAAAATGTGATCAAGCAAGGAAACAGATACTTTAACCTATCAATACTTACAGAAATCAGCTGGGGATTTAGCTCAGTGGTTCTGCCACCTGCCTGGAAAGCACAAGATCCTGAGTTCGATCCCCATCCCCAGTACCAAAAATAAATACAGAAGTAAATACAGAAATAAACACTAAAACAACAGCTACCACTTTATACTTATTAGATGGGCAAAATCACATGTTGGATAATACAAATGGTAGATAGGGTATAGAGTTACAAATGTCCCAAGCACAGTGGGCAGAGGTTCATGCTGGGGCCATTGCCATATGCAGACAATAAGGAAGCAGTGTCTCCAGAGAGAGTGTCACACACACGGGACACCTGGCCACGGATACTCGCCATTGTGTTTTTCTGTGGTATGAAGCTGGAGGCCATCACTATCAAGCCTAAGAGAGTAGAGGTAACCTGGACAGGAGCCCACTAAAGGATTCTGGAGCAGTAACAGGCGACTGAGCAGATGATAATACGGCAACATGAAGATTCTGAAAAACTTAACACTGAGTAGAAAAGAGTAAGAAACAGAATGTGCTCTATGACAGAGCACTGTTTGTGTAAACCAAAAGCACTTGCACACAAAACAAAATGAAAGATTTTACCAGAGCACAGAACAGAAAGATATACATACAATATGTTGCATGGTTGCTATGGGGCTAGGTCAGAGGATTGGGGGGGCGGTGCTAGCTAGGAGGAGAAAGGGAAACTGCACCCAGACCTGGGCACAGCCCAAAGCTTGGAGGTACTGGAGAGCTGGTGCCCTTGGGGAGCTGCCCGCATGCCCATGTGGTGGAGGCAGAAGGTTCAAGGGAAGAGTGAGGAGAGACATCAATCCCTGGGGGCCTTTGCAAGGCATCTGCAGGTTATCTTGATGGCAAATGGGAAGCTAGTGAAGAACTTCAGGAAGGTGAGTGACCTGGTCACGCACAGGTTTTAGGAAACCCACTCTGGCTACTTCAGGAAAGACAAGTACAACAGACAGCCTGGAGACCAGCAGAGCAGGCAGGAGAGTCGCCTCAATTCAGAAGAGGGGAAAGCTTCCTGTCTCACCTGCTTTCCCAAATAATGTCCTTTCCAGGTAATGATACTCCAAAGACAGAGGCCCAGCCGGCCAGAGCTCTTGCCCTGTGGGCACCACAGTGACAAATCCAGAACATGCCATAAGGCCAGCAAAGTTCTGCTGAGCTGGACATTCAGTTGGCCATCTCGAGAGGAACAGGCTGATCCTAATCGTATACTGAAGCAGCCACAACTGCAGGTGGGGCATAAAGTGAGATGGGGTCCTCACTGGCATTTTGGAGCCAGGTTTGGAGTCCCCACCACACTGGACTTATCCTGCTGGTTGGAGGTGAAGGAAACTGTGATCTGTCCTTTGGGAAATAGGTGCAGTAGCCCACTGGGAAGAATAGAGTTGCAAAGAGGTGGACACCCAGACAGAAGAGGAGGCAATGGGGGTTGGTTGGTGGAGGAGGAAAAAGGTTTCATAAACACAAATTCTCATTGGGTCTCCCTTCTTATCTCCCTTTCAGCCCCATCCCTGGGCAGTCTAGAGGTGTGCAGAGATCTTGAGAATCTTGGGAAGGATTTTGATGGCTGAGGAAGTGTGCTGCCCTCTGTCCTTGGTGCTGAAGCGACACCAGATACATATGTTTGTGTGTGTTTCTTGGGTTCAGGGACATTAGTTGCTGACTCCTCTCAGTAACTCTGAACCAAGGATTGCCTCTTTCAGCCTTCAATCATACCAATACTGCTTGCATCACGTAGCCTTCCTCTTCTTATGGCACTGATTGTACCCACTCTCCATGTTTCTAGTTGTAGCTGCCCCACCTGCCATCAAGCAGGCTCCTGCTAGACCTGGGCCCCACCATGCCCACTGAGCACACACTCCACCTGCTTGCCTTCCAAATTCATGGAGGTCAGGGCACCCTATATTGGACTGGAGGTCAATGACCTGTTAAATAAGCAGAACCATATCTTGGTCTCCCAACCTAAATTACTTCATTCATGATTTTTTTGAAGAGTTGTATCATTTCCACCAACCACAAGCTGTTTTTTTTTTTCCTTTTCAAAAATGGCAAGGAACACCCCTGGCCAATTCCCATCACTCATAAGGGCTGCATGAGCTGCACATAACTCATCTAAAGCTTCTCTGAGCCTGAGGAACCTGGGAATTCAGTGAGAGACTAGAGTGTGACACCCTGGTCTGCTCTGGCATCAGAGGAGAGGGAAAGGGGTCACTGGGGCCTGCACTCTCCAGGGGGCTACCAAGAGGCAGGCAAAGGCTGCCGTTAAACCCCACTTATTGCATTTGGTACTGGATGGGGAAGGGGAAGAGGACCCCCGCCCAGCTCTGCACCTCAGTTTCCTCTGTCCTCACTCATTCATCTCAGCAGAAAACTCTGTTCCCGATCAGCACCTGCAGAATGAGATCATGTCTAGTCGGGAGAGAAGGCAGCACAGAAGGGCACCCAGGAACGTGGGGTGGAGAACTATGGGCTTGAGGGCCACTGGCAGTAGAATGCCATCTCCATTCATAGAACCAGGGACAGCTCCTGTCCTGACTCCATTCTTCCTCTTCCTGGCTCCATTCCTTACCCCACCATCCCTGGGAGTGAATCCTCGTTGCACTGTTAGTTTTTTTATGACACGCGTAACTCTGGGCAAGTCACTAAAGTTTCCCGAGTCTCAGTGTTCTCAGTTGTAAAATGGACGCGCTGATACCTACTAGAGGGACAGTGTAGGGGTGCAATGGAGTTGATGCAGGCAACGCGGGAGATGAGGGCACTCGGCTGCCCTTGCCCCCCCACCCCCCGGCGCTCTCACCGGTTCTCGGCTACCAGGATCTGCTCCAGCAGGCGCGCGGCCTGCACACGAGTCTCCAACTCCGGGGCCTGCAGCAGCCGCAATAGCAGGTCGAGGCCACCGTCCAGGCGGATGGCGTCGCACAGACCCTGGGCCACTTCGAACCGCGGAATAACGCCTCGGGTACACACGCCTGCATTCACCTGAACCCAGGCCATCTTTACTCTTGCACTCTTACTTAAAGCAGTCCCTCTGCTCTATGGGCTCGGGAAAATAGCCCCAGGAGTTGTCCTTCATTTTCCTTTCCCCTCTGGATCTCTGCCAACGCGCACCAGGACACACCACC